GACCATGTTGGCAATTTCTCACCCGCCCACAGACTGGATCTCCTGGGAGCCTGAGGAGGGTCTTCACAGATTCACTTCTGTTAAGATCCCCCAGGCTCTCACACACTCCCAGGTGCTTCATTCCTGTTGCCTTTTTTAAGCTCTCCATGTGTCTGAGCCTGGTAACACTTCTACTTATTTAGCAGTTGCTTTTCCTCCTTCAGCTGTCACACTCCTTTTGTGCCTTCCCAAGGATGCTTTTCTCAGCTTTCCTTATGTCCTTTCTGTTTTGTTCAGGGAGTCCTAAATCTCATGGTGCAGCTTCTCCTCTCATCACAGGGAGGTGGGAAGTTCATCACCAGTTACAAATGTTGCCTTCTGCTCCTGACAGAACTGCAGGATAAGCTGGATGACTGCTCCTGTCTGTGATGCAAAGCACCCCCAACCATCAGCATCTCAATCCCCAAATGGACATGCCTTAAATAACATGTGAAAGTGTGTAAGTGCTGGACCCTGAGGAGGTCACTTTGTTTCTTCAGCTCTGCCAATGATGCTGCACAGTGCAACATCAATCTAGATCTGCTGTCTGTCCACACTTTGCACATACTCCTGGGTGACCACCTGGTATTCTTGAAGGAAAAATATAAGCTCACCCTCCCCAAATGATCCACAGGAGCAGTTTCCTGGCTGAGGCACAAGCCTGGTGCTCAGCTCCTGTTGTAGCAGAATCATCTGTCCCATCCATCTTGATAGCATTGTCCTCTTGACTGATTTCTGGCAGGCACAAAGGCTCCCTAAATTATCCTGAAATTTGTCTGCCATAGGTTTGCTAGGATTTGGACACAGGCTAACATAAGGGTTAGCTTAGGCTGCCCACACAAACAGCAGCACAAGGTGCAGGTGACAGGAGCTTAGGTACAGCATACTGGCTAAGCCACTGTGTCTCTGGTCTGCCACCAACAAAGTGAGGCTAAATTTTTTACTGGTCTTTACCCCTTTGTCTTAGCTGGGACTGAGTTGGGTTCTTTTTTGGAACAAGAGTGTCACCATATAAGCTACATGCAACACTAGCTCCAGACAGTCTAAGGCTTGTTTTCCCACCACAGGATTCACTCCAGAACCTGCTACATTCAAGGACCATCTTCCCAGACAACTCTTGGCCCATGTCATCTTTCCTCTCCCACTTGGGGACAAATATGAATCTCAAATGACTTCCAGGGAACACAAGGAAGGATGACTCATTGTCATTTTAAGGTATAAGGCACTGGGCACATCATTATGCATGATGATCATCATGTGTTGCATGAATGCAGCTGTTTAAGCTACTCATTTGCATATGCATTAATTCACATTATGTATGAAGAACTGGTACTTGCAGAGACAAATTAGGCATGCAATACAATGGCTAAATTGTTTAAATAACACGAATGTTTATCATTCAGTTCCCTGTGTGAAAGACTGGGCTGTTAATAATTAGTTCCCTACCTCCAAAAGAGCATGCATGTTAATTAATTAATAGTTTCAAAGTACTTTGAAGTTGCAAAGCACCATAAGAAAGCTATCCATTATTATCTATAGTAAATGTACTTCTAAATGAAATAATTTGCTTATTTAAAAGCATTCGCCTCCCCAAATCCCCTAGAATCCCTTATCCATAATATTAATTAGCATCTACTAAAAAAATGTGTGTTTAAATATTCATTTGGAGTTTCAGGAGCAGAACTGTTTTTCCACCCCTGGTGTGCCAAGGATAAGACAGACTGGCATATTCAAGTGCAAGCAGATACAGTTTTATGAGCAGAGCAAAACAAAAGATGTACAAAACAGACTACAGGGTTATATTGTGTCAATGTGGACCAAGAGATGCAGGTGCTCCTGATGCTGTCAACAGGCAACCAAGTCTGGAGTTCCATTTTTCCTGTTTTCCTCTAACAAAATCTCAAGATGTATCAGAAAACAGGTCTGGAGCTTTATCTCATGTCATGTGCCAGCTTTTATTTTTAGACTTCAGGCCTCAAAAGCTCATGGCATTCAAACCTTTTGCGGTTTGCTGTCACCTTACAAAGAAGTGTGTCATCTTCAAAATCACATCCCAGGTGAATATTTACCCAACACACAAGAAATTACATCAAATGTGAAGAGTCACCCAAGAGTGAAATAGCTCAGCAGGTCCTCCAGTGCCTGCAATAGCTCTAATTTGCTGCTGCAGAAACACTATGCAAAGAAAACAAGCATCACCACAATGCTGCATTGCTGTTTGATGTTCAGGAGGCTAAAAAGAGGACTTTCAGACTGAAGTTTATGGGGTTCATCTTCTCAGGATTTCCCAGGCATTGAAAAACAGCTAAAGAGCCATGTGCTGCCATGAGGAATGGGCCCCTAAAATCTTTTGAAAGCCGGGGTAAAGTCTTTCAGCCTGCTGAGCCTCACTCAGGAGCATGGATGAAGGTCACCTCACTGAAGCCAGAGGTACCCACAGCCTTTGGTTTCAGTGCTGTGATATTTCCCAGGTGGAGCACGATAACAGAGTAGGAGTAAACTCTCCTAAATCTGCCATCAACTTTCTGAGTGACAACAAAAAAGACACTTTGGATCATAACTCCACTGATTCAGGTGAACTGGCTACTACCTGTTATAGGTATCTAAACCTCACTGGAGAATTAAGTGACCTGATCCCTAGGCCTCATATTCACTATAGGTGACCTCACTTGAGCTCCCCTTTCTGGGAGGGTGCAATCAGCAATTAAACTTCCCCAGATATTCTAAAAATAACAGGTAATTCCTTGGAAGAGAAAATCTTCTACCTAGCATAGCGTAACTTAATACTGGACCTCATTTTGATGGACAAAGGAAAATCAATTGATGACCTAAAAATGAGTGGTTGCTTAGGTACTTAAGATTATGATGATGATCTGTTTACATTTATTGTGTGCAAACAGAACACACCAGTGACCAGCAGCATAAGAATTTTTGAAAGCTCTAGTGTTTGCAAACTAGTGAGATTGTCAGCATCACTGACAGGGACAGCAATTTAAAGGAAGAAATTCTAATAGAAGACTCCAGTGGGAATTATTCTCAAATTTCCTATTGGAGGCTCCAAAAGCCAGAAACCCACAGTCATGGCAGTGCTCTGTTGGGAAAAAAAAACACAACTTCTTAAATATTGAAAAGGTATATGGAAATGGCAGTAAGGCATAAATTTTTATATATTTGTAGAGTCAGGAAGGAAATGGTAATTATAATTTACAAAACACTTGATTGATGATGAGGAAATGAAGGGAACAATAAAATGACCAATACAGATAGAAATAATTATAGTATTTTTTTAACTGTGAGTTATTGTTTACAGGCACACAGAAAAACTGTTCTTAGGTAAGTAGAAAAAGTAGAAATTTTCAAAGGATAGATATTTTTGCCTTTATATCAAACTGAGCAGGAATTTTATACTGAGGGTGGAACAGAAAGATTGCCATCTGTGATGAAAAGGGGATGTGAGGTAGCATTTGCTAAAATTAAACATTTTTTAAAAACAACAGACACATATCTTCCACCAAGAGCCTTTAAGGGATGAGGAACTCTCTCCATAAAGTTAATTTCACTAAATCTTCAGAAACAAAGAAAATTTAAAATGACTGCAGGACTATCAACATCATTTGAATATTGAAAAGTATAAAAGGGATGAACTAGAGAATTACAAACCAACCAAGCTGATGCTAATCCTGGGTAGATAATACAATGCTGAATTCTGGACTATATCAACAAAACTTTGAGGAAAAAATGTAATTAAACCCTTCAGCACGATCTCACAGCAAGTGGTTTTTTTAAACTATCCCTTTTTTTGTATTAAAGAACAATTGATCAATTAATTATAACGCTTGTATTTAAAAGCATGTGAATTAGTACCATGCAGCATTTTGACTTTAAAATCTTTCAGTAACATACAGTGAGCGGGTTACAATTGTCTTACTGGCAGTACTCAGAAGACAGATGTCAATAAGAGATAATTTTTTAGAAGTTGTCCCCAAGAACTGGTCCTTGGTCTAGCACTGACAGATTGGTCACTGACAGATTGCTTTTACCAGGAAAGTCTGCAGTGATGCACAGATCAGTAGGTAGAAAGAAAGTAGAACAAGTCACTGCTACAAAATACATCATCTGCCACAGCTGCAAAATCAACCATGAACCCAGATAAGGTGATTCTGATGGAAATTTTTCATGGATTCTTGCTGCAGTAATAAAAAGGAGCGGGGGATGTGTGATTTATAGGAGTGATATCAAACAAAAGTGAGTAGAGACACAAATGTGGGAAGAAATTGGTTCCAAATCGACTTGGGGAAAACTGTCCAACAGGAAAGGCAATGAAATGGAGGTAGATGGTTTAAGGCATTATTCACTCAACATGAATTCTGAATTTTAAAAAGAGATTCGACAAATACCCTTCACAAATTGCAGGGATATGCTAATGTGCTTTGGTTTCTGGTTTAGCAGTGCACAAGGTGACCAGCTAAGGTCCCACCCAATCTTACATTTTAAGGTTATGCTGCATATAAGGGAGACTGTGTGGTCTTGAATACATCTACTCTTGGTGTTCAAAAGAACATGAAAAGAATGGGAGGAGTTCAAGGAAGTGCTTTAAAAAGGTAAAACACTAAGAGGTTTCACAAAGTTTTCTTCTCAAAGTCCTCCTTCCTCCCTTACAAGGTAGAAAAATTACCCTCAAGCTGGTTTAATAAAACCAGACTCCAGGAGAGAGAAAAGGTTACTTTTCATATGTTTTTCCCAGCCCTACATCACTACAGTGGCTTTTTAATGTTCCCAAACTCCACATGACATCTAGTGAAGTTCATTAATAAATCAGGATAATCATCCACTGGATTCTAATGAAATTTTAGAAGCTACTTACAAAAAAAAAAAAAATTAAAATATCTTGAATGCCTATTAGTTACTTGGGGTTTCTTCCTCCTTCTTCTCCATTAAATCATTGGCCCCAAACTTAACACAAAAGGGCCAGTCAATCACAGCCATTTTTATCTGATCTCTTTGTCATCATTTTTCTGCACAGCTTCAAAAACAAAAGCTGTATGAGGCAGCATCAGATGCTTCCCCTTTGTGCATCGCTCCCATCACCTGTCGCACTCCTCTTGTTAAATCTCTGACGTGAGTCTTCAGCATTCCTGCAAAATAATTTATGCATTTTCCCCACCTCTGCAACTGCCTTGTGACAAGAACAAGAAATCACAGAGGAGGCTGTAATTAATGCATTTCCACTGTCTGAAATCAATGCTGTAAAATCAGTGCCCAGCCTTGTCACAAACACAGTGATGACTGACAGAGCAGCACGGTTACAACCTGGATTGCTCTGACCATGAATCACCAGTGGATCTCAGTCACACCTTAGCCCATGTCTGTGATTAATTCTGCAGTTTATGGTAAAGGAAAACTATAAATCTGACATCTGTACAAAGATAATCTCTTTGACTGATCCCTTTCTAAAGCCAGGGCTTACCTTCACTGAACAATTCCACACATTGAATCCTTCAGATGTGAAGTTAATTTAAAATAAAATAAAATAAAATAATTTTAAAAAGTTAATTTCTCCCACTAACATTATCACCTAGAGGAAATACTCACCTGTTCTAAGGAACATGGAAAAGTGGGAATCAAGGACAAAGGTACCTAAAGATGAGATGGTAAAAGAAATTGATTAAGCAAAGAGCAAAACATCACCAGAATTATACCTGGAACATCTTTAAACAGTTTGGAGAAAATCATAAGGGAGATGATGCAAATTCATAAAAAGCTCAAAGGGAACTGCTAATCAGAGAGGCAAATTCACTGACACTGCCTCAAGGGATGAATGTTGTAGCCTGCTTTTGTGAAGCAGCTGAGCCAAGACCTGTGGGCTTTGCTGCAGATGCAGGTGAAGTGTCAGTGAGGAACTGGCCACCAAGGGACTCTCTAGTGCCACTGGCTCTGCTTCCCAGCACTCAGGTAACAGCTGGACTGAGATCTCAGGAGTTTCCAGTAGCTGGGCTCCAACACATGCCCGAGAACTTCTCCATAGTAGCAAAGATTAACTTTGACATTTCCAATATTCTAAGGTATAAAGTAAGAAAAAGAACAATCTGTATATTTTTAGTCAATCTTTTTTCCTATACTATTTTTCCTATAATAAATCATAAGGGTACAAAAAGAACCCAACTTTAAATCTAACTATTCTCAAGAAACATTTAAAAGGAGTAAGCACATCCATTAACAGTCTCTTCTGCTGTGTATTTCTGTTGTGTCTCTTATTTGTTATAATCATAAATGGGGCAGGTGGAAAGACAGTCCTTGTTCCTAGGAAAATTAGAAGCCTGGTCTTGATTCAGAACTTAAAAACATTGATGTCAATAAATCACAAGACACTAAGAGTCTCTCTGAGTTAATTTTTGGCTCATATATTATAAAACAAGGTGGCAAAAATTGTGAAGAGATTCCAAAAAGGGATCACAAGGTTGTTTTTAGGGTTTTTTTCCTCTTAGATCCACAAACACGATCTTTTCAGCAAGCTGTTAAGATAGAAGATGACTGTTCCCTTTAATTATGCTGGGAAAGTGAGGAATGGGGGAAGCAGAAGAGCTGTTTGAACTGAAAACCAGCACTGGCAAAAGACAGAAATGAATATACACAGGCTGTGCATAAATATAGATATGGAATTGAAAGGTTTTGAGCCACTAAAATAGCAAAAGCCTTGAACAGTCTTCAAATAGCAGCCGTGGGAGCGAAGCAGCATGATCCATGTACCCGACAGTGATGTGCAGATGTGCCCAGGCTCTCAGAGCACTGTTCACTCTTGGGAACTGCCTGCCTACAGAACCTAGACCTCACTTTGGGTTAATTTGCTCAGTATTCCAGCCTTTTTCTTTCCTTCTCAGCCTCCTCCATGGCCCCTGTGGAGCTCCATTCTCAGCTGCTACTGACACCTGAGCTCATCATTCCAAACTAGTGCCAGTCCAGTAGTACTCTGCAGTCCTGTTCTGAGCCCAGTATGGACAGATTCTAATTAGCTTTCACAAAGACACTATTCACTTAAGGAAAAGACCACATTATGTTCCTGCCTCAGATAGAAGAGAACAGAACTCAGTCCCTGCAAAGATTTCCTTCCTGTCCTGGCTTCTTCTATTGGTGCTTGCTTCTTTTCAGAGAAACAAAATCTTCTGCATCCCCATACTTTTGTCATTAGCTTGCCAAGCAAGTCTGAGAGCTATAAAGTCTCTTCTGATGTCCAGGCAGAGGTCCCAAGCAATGAGGGAAGGACCAATTCTACCCCAAGGCTGCACAATGCACAGCCCAAAGCAGTCCCCATTTATCAGGTGAACCTGTAATAACACACAGGTAAATGGGATATTGTCTCACACAATATCTACTGAACAGACTTGTCACTTTTTCCACTTCACAGTATCAGCTATTGCTCCTTTGCCCTCCTAATCTCACCCACACCATTTTTTTTTTTTTTTTTTTTAGACTATGAACCTATTATGTTTCAAAAAACTGCCTTTTTGCTCTTCTGGAAAGATACAATAGCTGCAGCTTTTCACAGGCAAAATCAGAACTGAGTTCCCAGGAGAAATGAGAAGATTATGATTTCTATTTTTTCCAAGTTTTTTTTTTTAAAAAGTAAATTTGGGAAAGCTGGAAGTATTCATTTCCCAGTTTGTATCTTGAAAAGCTTACATAGAGCATACATAGAGATCTCTGTGACTGCTTGGTAACATAAACCTTCCAAAAGCGAAAGGAATAAATAAAGAAGATTAACATATATGTAAAAAGCTGCTATAATTATCACAAAAGGCCTCTTGTGATTAGGACTGCAAGAAACTCTGAAAGTATCTTGGGATCTGTACTCAAACTGGGAGTCAGAACCACTAAGAGACATTTTTTAAGAGACAGGTCATCTGTAATTCAAAATTCAATAAACAAATGTGTTTAAATTTCTTTTAAAATGTTTCTGCCTAATTGTGATAAAAGAGAGACAATATAGGTCTAAAGATTATTCTTTTTAAGATTTTGTTGTTTGTTTGTTTGTTTCTAATTAGGAGTAAATACATAAGATTTCTTTGTAAATGGCTTTGCAACTCTAAACCTCTAACCAGGTGCTAGCAACAACAGCTTTAAAACTTATTTGTGTAGAAAGATCCCTGGGGTTTCTCCAAACATGAAGATACAGGCAAAGGAGAAAAATACAGATATATCTTAAAGATTGTGGTTTTCTATTTTAACAAAGGCTCTTTTATAATCTGAAGGGAAATTGCAATATTTGACTGATTTTTATACAGTCTGCTTATTTTCAATATCTACCTTTTCAGCTTCCTTGGCTATAAATAGTCCTCGCTCGCATGACACAGCATTCCCACAGATTCCTCGCTTCTCTACATGCTGTAGATACCCCAAGGATTCACAAATCATCCCTGAGCTGTCCAAGTTTCAAGAAGAACATGGGCATGGGCATGGAGTTTTCCAAAGGGACATGATCTCACAGGCACAGGGCTGACTACACCAAATCTCCCCTCTGCTGCTTATCACTTGCTGAGAAGAGATGCCTTACAAAACCATAATTAACATTTAAACCAGCAGTTACAGTAAAGACCTTCTTAGAAAAGATACCCAGACCTGTTTTTCATAAAAGCATTTTTATTGCCTCAAAGGTTTTATTAAAATCCCAACAGATCAATTACAGTTTATTGTTTCAAGCCTTTACCTGCCTGGTTATCACTCAGCCCACAACAGTGAAAGACGTGTGCTCCGTTACAGGCTCTCCTCTCCCTCTCTTGTGACCACTCACTATTGTTCCCCAGTGTGGTAGTTTGGTCTAGGGCTTCCTTGGTGACCAGTTTGTAACCAAGGCAGGGTCCAGATTTACCCGGTATTCCCTACAATTTTTACGTAAGCCAGACTATAAGAAGAAAGGAGGGAAGGCCTTCGCCCTTTCTTTCCTTCCGGCGGCTTGGAGGTGCAGGTTCCCTGCTGTTGAGTCTGCCGTGTTGGGGAGCGAGGCCTGGTTAGGCCTTGTCGACCTTGGGAGGCGGAGGTTGCCGGCGATCGTTCCAGAGCGACTTTCAGTTGTCCCAAGGAGAGTAGTGAGATATTTCTTTGCTAACTCTTTTAGTTGCTAGATCTTGGGCTAATGATTGGGATATATATATATATATATATATTCTATTTTGGTTTTGTTCTTTTTTTTCCCTTCCCCCTTCCCTTTCCCTTTTCCTTGTAAAATTGTATATATATTTCAATTGTATATAACTGTAACATAAGTGTAAATATATTTATTTATATATATATTGCTTTAGCTGTCTCTCTCGTTTCGGTTTTCTTGGTTGTTTTTTTTCCCTCTTCTCCCTGAGGTTTGGGGGGGGGGGACTTCTTGTGGTAAGGTTTGGAGACTTGGCAGGGAGCCAGCTTCAAACCATATCACCCAGGTAGTCCAGCAAATTTCGAATATCTTTTGCTAACAATAGTCTACCTTACACTGAATTTAGGTGCTCATATATCAAAGGGTTTGTGCTGTATAAAGCAACGGAGAAAGTCCCATCCCCCCCAAACAAAATACCTCATGTCCAAAAAATCATTGTATCCAGATAAAAAATCAATTTATAGAAAATGTTATGTTTGAAAAAGCACTGACAACCTTAAGCAGAAAATAAAAATTCTGGGTAAGATATTCTTTGCACTGGAGACTTACATCACCTAAGGAAACATCTAGCAAAGCCTCACCATTCCCATAACCACCCATTCAGCTCTTCACGCCATGGCAACAATGGCATTAAGTTCACTATCTTGTCACACAGAAGAGGCTTGTAAGGAAGCACTGCCCTGGGTCCATCAGAGGCCCATGGTGGACAGGTAGGGCTGCAAGCACCGGAGCCACAGCGGGGAGCTCCAAGGACGTGGCACTGCTGAGAGGGACCAGGTCCCTGCTTTGGCTCAGCTATTGTATCTCCTGTCCCAGCCAGAGCCAGAAAGGGGCCTGAGAGGTGTAGTCATATGAATGGCTGAGGAGGATTGAAGGAAATGTGTAAGGGGAGATGACAACTTGGGAACTTCTTTTGAGATGTGAAGGGCTGAGTCTGCTCCTTGCAGGTCTATGAGTTTACAGGATTGTCCCAATTTCTACCAGTGACCGTGCTTGTACAAGTACATTACACACCAGGAAATAAGTTTGATAGTTACTATCCATGGAGAGGGATCATTGTAGTGTACTTCTGGAAACATCTACCTACGTTGTGTTTAGTAGTGGAGGATAATGGCTGCTTCAATGACATTGCCTTAACACAGCAAAATGAGGAAAAAGCCCAGACTTTTGTTGTTTATAACGTGTGTTATCCAGCCAAAGTGTTCAACATCAATAGAGTCATTTGTGAAATCAGTGGTGACATTTAAAATGGTTACACTTCCAAGTTAAAGCCGTATGTAGACACACTGAGCAGCTTCTCCTGGTACCTCTTCAGTTTGCCAAGTCAGAAGTGTGGCATAAAAGCTTTCTATACCTTGGAAATCTTTTGGAGTTTTTTGAAGGGACCTGTTTGGTTTTTTAACAGCTGACTACTACAAGAAATTATGAAAATCAGAAAGACATTTTGTCCAGCTCACTTTTAATGTTTTTCAACCATGTCTTCAGAATAAGCTCATTCCTCCACAACCAGCAATTTTCTAGCCAGAGATTTAAATAAACCAGTGAGCAGTGGTGTGCCATATTGGCATTTCTAAAATTAGCTGCACAATTATAATTCTGATTTCCCACCTCTGCTCTTCCCTGGAACAGTCAGGCTACAGAGCCAAAGGACACAAAACTGGATCATGAAGATAGGCAGAATGTCTTACGGCTTTGCCAGAAACATATTTTTGGCATTCATACACTACAGGCCTCTCTGCAGCCAGTTTCTCTCTTAGTTAACTTAATCTTCACCAGAACATTCAGCCAACTTCCAGCTCAGCTTATGATACATGGCAAAGACACTGTTTCTCTGAGCGCCTCCAGCACATACTATTCAGAGCTGCTCACTCATTTTTCTTACCGTTCATGTTGTCAGGGATAACCTCCAATGCATTAACAGACAAGACAAGGATCCTTCTAGAAAATTGTCCTGCTGCTGAATTGACAGAGGTACTTGGGCTCATGGATTTTTTTTTCCTGGGGCACAACACTTTCCAACAGAAAGTGGTCATTTGTTCACTACCCTTTGGACCCTGCAAGGTTCATCCAGGATTTATGTCCTGGTATTTTGCATCTAAGACTGACGAACTAATATAGAGCAGAGGTGCTCCTCTAGGAGCATCCACCATGTTTTCCAAAGCACAGCACACTGCCCTTAGGAGAGCTTTACCACTAAGGGCTGGGCTTCAGCACTGATACTGGAGTACAGCCTAAACACTGCAAGACCATCTTGACAGAGCAATGTATACCCCTGAGTCATGGTTCCTCCTGTGCTTTCCCTTGCCTCTTGCTGGGAATAGCAGTTTTTTCCCAGATCTGTGCCAGTCCTTATTGATTGCATGACAGATCCTTATAGCATTTACCCCATATGTATTTGTTGCTTTGGCATCCAGCTGGAGGAGGTAAAGATGCATGAAGCTGCCTCACTAATAGCCTTCTTCAAATAATCTATTCCTGTGGTATATACAACATTATCAACAGTTTATGCTAAGGGCAAACTGGGAGTACCGCCAATGTTTCTTGTTTCACCCCTTTTCCTCTGCAACCACCTGTAAATTCCCCTCTTACACTGAAATTGTAAGGTCTTTGCGCAAAGACCAGTTTGTTATCTGCATTTGCAGTGAGATCACAGACCATAACTAGGTTCTTGCTGATGCTGCAACACAAATATTTTATATAAAATACTACTTCACATGAACTGGCCTTCCACTTTCCTTGCTTGCTCCCTCTTCCCTAATTGCTGCAAATTAGCAAAGTTCAGCCATTGCCCCCTAAATTGCAGTTATCAGTGTCATGCCACTGTAACAAGTTTTGACCATGGAATGACAAAATCTGCTTTCCCTTTCCAGCCCTTCTAGCCCATCTCTCCTCCCTGTCACTTTCATCCCCAGTTAAACCAGACACCTTGCAACCAGACCCGCCTGATGAGAAGGTGCAGATTGATGCCTACAAGAGCTGGACAGGTCAGTAGCGTCCAACACCTGTGTCAACTCTGTCCCCATTCCCTGCCCCCAGCAGCACCACATACCGGATCCAGACACAGAGGAACAGGCTTTGCTTTCCAGAGTTGCCCAAAACAAAGCCAACTGCAGCCTGTCTGCATAAATCAACAACATAAACAACATATAGCAGCTGAGCACTTGCCAGCAGAAGGATCACAACCCACCTTGAGATTTGTGCATATGATTTAGCCCATGTATCTCCCATATTGAGCCCATGGCAGCAGCTGCCATGAAATGCTATTGCTCAACAGCTCATAGTGAGCTAAAAAAGGAAGAAAACCTCAGTATTATACAATTCTATCTTCTTGACCACCTCCCTAAATCCTCTGCATTTCCATCAAAGATGGAAGTGCAAGAAGGACACAGATGAGACAGACCACAGGTGGGGGCAGAGGAAGCACATAGGCTACATGTCTTAAACTCTCCATTCCTCCATTGTCAGTAGGCCTGGGGAAATAAGAGAGACCCACAGAGTTCAGGTTAAGTGAATTAAACAAATCCACCTAATCTACCTGGAGCTTGTATATGAATCTGAGTGAAATGTAGTTGAAAAGCATGGTTTTGAGAATAAAGATGGATGGGACCTCCAGACTGGTCAGAAACACAAACCCCACTGGCCCTAGCAAACAAGGTGTATTAGACACAAATATTGCACCCCCTCACAGGCTCTGTATGAGCAGCCAGCTGCATGGGAGTACAGCCAGTGGCATGATCATGTGTGAGAACCCAGCCATGAAACAACACATGTTCTTGGATTAATGCCATCAAATTTTTACTCCCCAGCACTATAAGCAGAACAGTCCCCAGGTTCCAAAGTTGGTAGCTCCTTCATTCCTGGTGAGCTGAATTGATATAAAAGAAGCTGAATTAGCAGCCCTGAAACACGACAGCCTTCAGTTGATTTGTCTTCTCTCCCTGGGAGTCAAAATAGTATGATTAACAACAGTTTGTGTGCCCACACCTTGCACTACCACTGAGCCCCACCTGGGCTTGGATTCCAGGCTCTCAGAACAGTGACAAAGCAGAGGTGCCCTTTGCATTAGACCTTTCAATCATTTAATCTGTGGCGTAAGTGAAAACACTGCCAGTGAGGATGTCAGCTTTGGGGATAGCTTTTGAATATCATTTCAAGGCCAGTTAGAAGGAACAGTCTCTCCAGTGGACCATGACCTTTATTTCCCAATGTCTTCCCAGAACAACCATGGACTGAATCCTCAGTTCTCAAAGAACAGTTACTAATATTGAACCATTGCTTGTTCTGGAGTGACACCACTCTCTTTTCCACCAGTGATACCATCTTTTCCTACTTATTGATCCACTTTTTCACATTCTCCTTTTCACTCTCCATCCCCTAAGCAAGAAAGGAGCAGTCTGTAAGAATCAGCAAATCCAGCACTTTGCTCCTTCCAGTCTTCACTTGCAGAAGGCTTGTCTCTGTGCCACACATGCAAAACAAAAATAATACTGGAGCACTGAGACTACTGATTATTACAGCAATTGTAACCGGCTTCTTGTTAAATTATACCTGCCCCAGCTATCAATCACTGTCATTTCTGTGTCTTGTTGTGTACAAACTTGGATCCAGCCTGACAGATCCTCTGTGCTCTGTCTGGGCAGTGCACAGCACAAGGGACTCAGCTGGGAAGGGTGGACTGCATCTCACTGAGGAGGTCAGGTGTGTCTTTGCCTCATCAGCTTCTCAGGAAAAAGCTGGATGTTTTTATGGAAGCAATGTGATGGGACTTAAAAGTGCTGGAAGTAATCTGGGATAATCTGGGAGGTACAAGGATGCACAGCCCAAAGGGCTTTCATCTCTGCTTGTCCCTGAACATGCTTCTATAGTGTGTATAAATACATTATAAATAATTTCTGGGTTAGTAAAAAAGCACTTACTACATCCAAATAGGAATAGCTGCAGTGACTGTGTGGTACTATGCTGTTTCAAACACACATTCACAGGTACGTCAGACACAACCTTTGCCATCACATTCACCTCCCATTCATTTGGGTTTATCACATGACTACACACTGTTAAAAATGTTCTTATCTCCACTAAAAATGATACAGGGGCTTAAAAAGGGTGTCGTGACACAAAGATTAATCTCCAAGTAAAACCCTGATTTTATGCTAGATTTGCTGACTCAGAACAAGGCCAGTGACTTTCCTCTGCCTAATCTTAAAAAGAAAACCAAAAAACCAGCAAACCACCAACCTGCAGGCAATGTCCTGTAAGTGATATAAAACCATAAATGCAGAATTACAAAAGGTCTTGCAGCTTGATATCACGTTGCAGGGTAAGGCATTACGTGAGTCGCAGAAGTAAAGAAACTTACTGAAACTTATTGAAGAGAAGTGCTGTCAGGCCATGAGACAAGAGAGAACAGCTAAAATCTTCACCCCACTTATGTGCCTCTCCCAGTGCTGTGAACTGAGTGCTGAGAATAAAGTTTAGGTTTGAGAATGAAGTGGTGGAGTCACCATCCCTAAAAATGTCCAAAAAAACAGATGTGGCACTTCATGATATGGTTTAGTGGGCATGGTGGTATTTGATCAAAGGTTGGACTTGATGATCTTGAAGGTCTTTTCCAACCTTAATGACTCTATGATTCTAAGCTATTCCTCTTTTCTTTTACATTTAATGTGCCTGAAATATGCTGCTCCTTTCGTGCCTCTGTTTATTCCTTGGACTTTCTTCAGGTTTTGCAGCGAAACCATGAGCGTGTAGGGGAGAGAGAGAGGTTCACTGTTTCAGAGTCAGCCCCAGATTTCCACAATATCCTGGGATTTCAGCTCTGAGGGCTATGCTTTGCACTGGATTTACAGTTGAAGTTTAACTCTCCTGCTGTTTGGGTGTCAGGATGGAACTCACAGCCCTGTGCTGCCAAGTGACAGTGACAACTGTGACATGTACAAAGACAATGGATACACCTCAGAAATCACAGTCCCCTGGCTCTCAGCAGAGCAGTTCAAGCAATAAAACAGCTGGTTTCCACCACTACCTGGCCAAGACACTTCACTACTGACCAGGTCTTGGGCTTGTCCTCAGCCCACTCAGAGCACAAGGGGTCTCCCTGTAGATCAACAGCAACATCAGGTTTCACACTGAAGACACTGCAATTAGAGGAAAACAGGCAACTTGCCTGAAACAGGCACCAAAGCACCAGGAGGGCAATTAAGTTGTTTTCTCTATACAAGCAGCACCTTCATTAAGTAGCTTTTAACATGTTCACCTACAAGAGTAATCTTAATTCCCCTTCTTCTTCTGTTTTACATCTCACAATGAGGTCACACCTCTTCCTTCTTTCTTTTGCAAGTTTATGTCCAACATCTCTCTTGCCTCCTTCTCCAGCTCAGCTGCTGTTTTGTCATTGTCACTGGAACTGTGTTCACAGCTGCTGCCTTCTTCCCTGCACCATTACTGCTCTTGTCTCATTCTAAAAAAACATGGGCTTTCTTGCTTATTTTTCCTCTGCCTTTTTTTTTTTTTTAACCAAGTGGGCTGAAAACCATTCTTTTTTCCCTCTGGACAAGGTAGACATCAGACAGGTCCATCTGTTCTCCTTG